GGGTTGTTAGTGGTTATATAGGGCTGGGGGGTGGGGGAGGAGGATAGGGAGGGGAGAGGGGTGTGATTGGGAGGAGATAGGAAGGAGGATTGGAGTTGGGAAAGAAAAAAGAAAGAAAAAAAGACATACAGGAACTTTCCTACCCCCTCTAAGCGCGCCCGCAAGAACATAGAGATTCATCAAAATAGCAGCTACGGCATCACGACGGTAATTCAACAAAGTCTCGGCGGCTTGGTCGTTATTGGAGATGTAATGAGGGTGGAAGAAGAGCGAGGATTGCCGCACGGAAACGAGGTACTCGAAGAAGCGCTCTGAGGCATCGATTAGTGCTGAGTAGGGGAGGGGATCGAAGGGCCCGCGGAGTCGAATTTCGTGGCGGGTTAGAGCCTGGGGGTGTTAGTGGGAGGGTGGGAGGAAGAGTGAGAGGGGGATTGGGGGGATTAGAGGGATGAGGGAGATGGAGGGGGAGGTACCATGAGTTGACGGATGCGAACGAAGCCTTCGCGGAGTCGACCTTCTAGCATTTCTTTAAGATGTTAGTTGATTGATGAGATGAGAATCAGGAAAGGAGAAACAAACCAGATTTCCTAACATCCTCAACGCCCGGCTCGTTGCCTTTTTCATAGTACACGTACTTTGCAACCACACCCCGATATATGATACTCATATACACCATGTTCGCCGCCAACGCCTTCCTCAACTCATGTCTCGCCACAAACGGCCAAAGAACCCAACTCACCACCACCGCAGCCACAACACCAACCGTAAACGCCACGCCTCTCGTCCAGGCGATCTGGGCAACGGAAGGGAGACCCTCATCTGCTTTCGCCGCCAGACTCACGACCACAAAACTTATACACCCGACAATCCCGGAGCGGGGGTGGGAAGATTGCGTGAAGCGGTAGATCATGGGGAGCATGTATACGGATGCGAAAGCAGCCATGACGAACGGATTCCCGTTTTTGGCGCCGTATGCTAATCCACCCCATACCGCACCGAGGATCACGCAGAGGGCTCGCGTGAAGAGATCTTGGATGTTGCCACCTACGCGGGGATGCGACATGATCCATACCATAGCCACTGCCCACCAGGCCTCGTTCCTATTCCACCAATGCTGCGTCTGTGGTAACCATCCGGGAATTGCAAGTAAAGCGGTGACAACCACGACCTTCAAAGCGAATCGCATTTCGAAGCCCTGAAGTCGGTGGAGTATCAACCATAGACGATAGCGGATTTTCCGTTTCTTGGGAGCGTTGCGGTCTAGAGCTAGGTCTTCTTCTTCTTCGTATTTTCCCATTGTGTCGGAGCGTGAGAGGCCGAAGGATTCATTTTTCTCGTCCATGTTTGGAGGTGCTTTTTGGTGAGGGAGGGGTTTATAGACGTTTGCCATTCCCCGCATGGTGCGGGCTAGTTGGGTTTGAGAGCGGAAGTAGAAACCTGCTGTTACGCCTCCACGATCATGTCGGACCTGGGCATTGGTTCTTTGGATTCCCTTGGTAAATGGATAAGAAGGCGGATAGATTTTGGATTTTTGTTGCGATTGTTGCATTTCCATGACTTTGACGAGGAGGGCTTCGACTGTTCTGGCTGCTTGACGGATGGGATGGATGAATAGGAAGAGCTCGACGACTTCAGGATGGTCCGAGTAGGTTGGTGGTAAGGCTGGGTTATCCATTAAAGATTCCTCTGCTTCGTCGTATTTGATAATTCCTTTTCGGAGTTTGGTCAAAATTCCAATAAGGTCTGAGGAGACGGTCACTGGTGGACCTAGCCATTGTCTATACCCAGACATCTCCATCAAAACAGCATCACATCTTTCGAATGCACTTTTCATTCGGGCAAGCAGTTTTGAGGTCGGCTGTGCAAGTTTGCCAGTTACCAATCTTACAGCTTTCTCTCCTGTGTATGTTCTGATGACTGGAGGACGATTCCGATTCTTTTTGTTGAAATCGGCAAATGTTTCGCCCGCTGAGTAACCGGATGGACTGTGCAGGTTAAAAACTTCCGAACTACTTTCGGAAAACGGGCTATCGGGGTCATCGCCTCGAGGAGTTGGGGAAAGTGGAGTTGGAGTATAGAATCCTCTCGTGGGAGTATTGGCGCCTCTAGTAGGGGAACCGAAATCACTCCTCTCAAAATTGTCAAACAGCACCGTTTCCATCCTTAGCGAGAGTAGGGATCTGACAACAGCCTGCATAAGATTACGCAGCGCTGCAACATCCGAAGGTGGAAATCGCGAGACTGAAAAATCCAAGGTAAGATCTCGATAAGCTTGCGAGAGATTGACAAATGTTAATGCCAGTTTACGATGGAGAGCAGTAGGGTTGGGATTAGGTAACACAAGACCATCTTGCATGACGCCTAACGCAGTGTGAAGCGACACGGCAAGTGGACGAGCTCCAGCGTCTGGTAAAACTACGCAAGCAATTATGAGACAGATAGCTTGTCCTAATAACCAAGGGATTCCATAATCGAAAAGCTTTCCCCAAGCGACGGCCTGTGAAGTATCTGCGAGACAGGTATAAATGACAGCAATACCAGCAGATAAGACGAGTTGATAAATGCGTACATAGTATGAACGTAGTGCTGCATTTGTACCCATAAACACGACGAGAAATGCAGCAAGAATACCTCCATAACCTCTACTGGCAACAGAAGTGGAATTTGATAGCCAAAGTGCGAAGGCTCCCCATCCCAATCCAGCTGCTGTCCCTAGACTAGTCTGAAAAGCGCCATCGAATTGAGCGCCTACTGTTCGGCCTGAGTGATTGATAATTGTTGAAAGTACCATAATGTAACTGTATCGTCCTAACCATATCTGAACCACGGGAATCAGGCATAAAACGTAGGCAATGAAAAACCCGAGGAAAGATTTCGCCAATTTAATGCCAGAACGGGTGGTGGTTACCGCTCGTACCACACTCTGAATGTCACGCCATTGTCTTGGTAGAAAGTGTTTTGGAGATAGAGGATGCTTCTTCTTGAACTCAGCAGGAAGAAGTTCCTCTGCATCTTCCAACAATTCGTCGCGATTTAGTTTGGGTGGTTTTGAAAATGAGCCATCAAAAAAGCCATCTCGAGTTTCTTCTACTCCATAAGTTTCGAGATCCATGTTCAAATTTTGCAGCAAAGCCTGAAGATGACTATGGTTGATGCTGACTCTTGGAGACGTTGGACCGGATCCTGTGAAATTTCGTATGGACGATGCTCTTGAACGTCGAGGACTGTGATTAAAGGAGCCATAATAAATACTTGATGCCGAGGATTTAGTTCCAGGATTTAAAGCCTGGAGTCGGATATGTTTTGCAGCTTGGGCATCTGCTTTTTCCTCATGACGCCCGGTGCGGGTAAAGGTAAGACGTCGACGACGTTTGGTTTGAGCATCAAAGTCATTGCTGACGGCGTTTGCTACCGAACTTGAGCCCGAGGCGTGAGATCTTGGATCGGGTAGATGCGTTTGGGGAGAGGACAAGATTGGTCGGGTGTTGAACGTTTTGTCATCTCTAGGGCTAGTTGGGGTAATTGGGCTACTTGTAAAGGGGTCGTGAGACGCCATTGCATGTAGGGATTCGATGCCGTGGTTTAAATGGCCCTCCTAAGTGGTCATGTTGAGTAAACGCAGGGCAACGCAACGCAACGCCACTCTACCTGACTGCAACTGTGAAATGCTCTGTAACGTCTCAATTCGGTATTAATTACAGCGATGTCTTTTAGATGTGATGGTTGTGGATGCGAGCCGAGCGAGAGTGAGACCGGGCCTGAGACAAATACAAATACGTAGGTAATGACAGTGACTGTGAAGTGACTGGGAAGGGTGCTGTAATAGATGCAAATGAGATGAGTCGACAAGGCAAAAGAGAATGTGTGAAACTTCGAATGTACGGCTTTAGGGCTGGCTACAGGATTGGTATTGTAGGTACTGTACTGTATGTTAGCGTAGGCAGTTTAGCGCATAAGGCTCTCAGAGACCCCATTTCTTTTGCTGCCCAAGATCTCGAGCTCAGGTTCTCCTGGACACTCTGTGCTCAACCCTTTCCTGGAATAGGTACAGCTTGTCTAATCGGGATCCGCTAAACTCCCCTCCTACACCAATCACAGCAAGTCGGCTTCATCGTCGGACGTCTTTCCACGTGCCGGCCACTGGTAGTCCGAGCTTCCGGTATCTCGTTTGGGGCCTTTTCTGCAGCGACTGGCTGGATGAGTCTGGATAAGTGTTTTATCGCTCCGAATGTGGCGAAAGGGCCTGGCTAATTGCCCATTAATTTCGTGAAAAGTCACACACTCTATCGCGCGTCTGCTGCGTCTCCTGCATCTCCCAAAAAAAAAGTTTCTTAGGCTTTCCTTTCCAAGTACCTACCTACTCCGTACTCCTACCCTACCTTACCTTACCATACCCTAACCTACCCTGCCCTAGCCCTAAACCCGCTCGCGCTAGCGTATACCAATCCAAGCGCGACGGCCTTCCGACTTTCCACCTCCTGAACCCAACATAAACCTCTTTTCTCTCCACAACACAACGCCTGATCGGGACCACTAAAGCTCCCTGTCCAACCCAACCTAACCCACCTAACCCACCTCATCCACCCCCCTTCGTTGCTCGACCTTGGTGCACTGCATCTACCCCCCACTCGGCCCCCAAACATGAAGGTCAAACAATCCAAGGCCACTTTGGTCGCCAAACCCATGGTGACGGCGAATACTCTCAATGGGCCCCCTTTTCCTGATGATTCTGAAGAATCCGAGGTCAATAGTGACGCCCTGATCAACACCGATCTTCCACGTGTCAATGGAGTCAATCAAGTCAATGGCTTTGAGGCCGACGGCGGGATTGCGATTGAATCTTCCGACGATGAGGATGATGAATCTGACAATCTGTCATTATTTGAAGACACTCTGGCTGAGATGGATGACCAACAGCTCTTTAATCACGATGGTGAGTGAACTATGAAACCTTTCAAGGTTGCATACACCAAGCGCTAATCACGCAATCATTAGGCTCCCAAACTTGCACCTACGAAGAGGCAATTGCTTTTCGTCAACAACTTCGATCAATAGGCCCTGAAGAATTCGTCAAGCTCAATATAGATGGTGGTCTCATCACTGCCAAAAAGCTTCTCACGGCTTTCAACATTCAACCTCCAGGCTTCCTCGAGGGCATGGATGATTGCGCTTATTACCGTCTTTTGGGTTTGGCCATCAGTCGGGAGTTATCCAAGCGGATCAAGCTTCCTCAGTTCAACACGATCGATGATGCAGTCGATTTAATTCTCAAGTCTCACAATATCGTCGTGCTGACCGGTGCTGGTATCTCAACCTCGCTTGGCATACCTGATTTCAGATCCAAGGACACTGGTCTTTACTCCAAGCTGCGACATCTTGGTCTGAATGATCCGCAAGAGGTTTTTGACATTCACATTTTTAGAGAAGATCCCACTTACTTTTACACGGTCGCTCGCGATATCATTCCCTCAGGTGATCGGTTCACTCCGACTCACGCTTTCATTGCTCTCCTGCAACAAAAAGGAAAATTGCTGACCAACTATTCTCAAAACATCGATAATATCGAAGCCATGGCTGGCATCCTCCCGGAAAAATTAGTCCAATGTCACGGCTCATTCGCTACTGCTTCCTGTATCGAATGCAAGTACCAAGTCCCCGGTGAAGCCGTCTTTCCAGACATCAGAGCAGGTCGAATCCCCCGATGCGATAAATGCATCGAAGGACTCCGTCGACTCAAAGCCCCCAATGCCATGAAGCGCAAACGCTCCGCCAACGGCGAAAAGAAGAAGCGTCGTTTCGACAATGACTCCGATTCTGAGCCAGAGGAAGATTACGATATCCCCGCCGCTGGAGTCATGAAGCCAGATATCACCTTCTTCGGCGAACCACTACCCGATAAGTTCTCGGATCGACTCACCGGTCACGACGTCGATAAAGTTGATTTAGTCATCGTTATCGGAACCTCACTCAAAGTCGCTCCTGTCTCTGAAGTCATTCCTTACTTGCCGGCTAGCATCCCGCAAATGTACATCTCCCGCGAACCAGTTTCCCATGTTAATTTTGACGTCGATATGCTGGGGGATTGTGATGTGGTTGTCGCCGAGTTGTGTAGACGTATGGACTGGGAGTTGAAGCACGAGATGATCCCCGAGAACCAGGTCGTGGACATCCGATTGCAGGATGGATTTACGAGTCGTCATGTTTTTACAGAGAAGAGGAGCTAGATTTTTCTTACGATGTGTTGCGACATTATGTTTTCCTTGCTCGGAGAGGAACAGAGGAATTTCCTGCAGGTGTTCCTTTGCTCATGTCTTTCTTCCCATCCTCAACCTGGATCCCTTGAGCTTTCTTCCGTTGCCAGTTTTCTTCCGTCGATAAACCTCCATGTATGGATTGCCTTTGTTTCTTCGAGACGAGTTTTCCCTTCCATCCGCATGAGAAGTCCTACGTTTTTTTCTGTCATACTTTCAGTCCGCAGAGTTTTCAGTAACCGTTTGTTTGTTTGTTCTTGTCACGAAACGCGGGGCATCGGCGTTCCGGAACACACGAAATCAAATCCTTTCCTCAATCAATACTGGAGGTGGAGGAATGGGTGGATGTATTTATTTATTTATTTGTGTTTGCTTAGATTTCCTCTCTCTCTCTCTCCCTACTTTTCCTCTCCCGTTTTTCTTCTTCTGTTCTTGCGTACAGTGCAGTCGTTGCAATTGGCGAGTTACCTTGGGCGTTAGATGAAGAGTTTCCAGTACCTACTTAGCTAGCTTGCAGACCCGTTCAACGGTTTTATGGAAAGTAATAAGACAGATTCCTTTATGATATCTAGTACTTCTACTTGCCTCTTTTTCATGTCAATGTCAATGTGATTTATGTACTCGTAAAACATACTCAAACTCCAGTAACAATCAACATCCCTATCCTCGACCCTGAGCCAGAGCTATAAATCCGTGGAGGTGGATGGGTGGGTGTACGTCAAAGAGGAAAAGAGGGAAAGTATTATCATAGCTAGTTTCTTATAATTCATAGTTATATAAACTTAATTCCGAATATCAGATTATAAAAAATATTCTATAGAATTTAAAACGCTAGTCAAAACCGCTCTTAGCGTGCCGGGTGGTATATTAACCAAGAAACTTTTCGTGGGTACGAGTATCCCATCTCTACGGTAGGAACAGGGTTAGAATGATATCTACAGTAGAGCGACTTATTCGTCTTTAGTTTTAGTTCTATTATGTTAAGCAAAGGGTCGGGGTGTAGAAGCGTGTTGTACTAAGTCTATCCTACGGTGTGTATATATGTCACGGATGCCAACAAAGGATAAAGTGTATACAGCTTTTGAATCAATTGCTAGAACTAAAACCGTAGGTACGAAGAAATCAAACTAAAGAGAGAAGAGAATCTGAAAGGAGCGAAGTTATTTAAGTTGTTCCAATGCCAAGTCTCGTCACGTGCTTGGCCAAGCGAATGAAATCCTGTCAAATGAAATCCAGCTCCGTCACACCTTATTACTTTATTACGTTAAGTTTAATAGGGCGGCCCAGGTATATAATACTCCTCTTAAGTATTAAATACCCTACTCCTAGGTAATAACTTAAACCCTGCTCGTCGAGGGTAACGGTTTTATTAACGGAGTATACTTTAACTTCTTTAGATACTCTTACTATTAATTATAAATAGGGTACGTAAACCCGGACTTATAACTTATTAAGTAAAGGATCGGGGTATAGAAGCGTGTTATACTAAGTCTGTTCTACGGTGTATATATGTACATGCTAGCCTGGTCCGAGCTCCTGGTCCGTGCCCTGACTAGCCGCTTTGGGACTAGTGTAGATTACTATCCAACATATTATATAGTTTTCATCCGAATTATTCACATTCGAAATAATAGTATTGTCTAGGAAAGAAGTGTTGTCGAAAATTAATGTTCTGCTATAACTAGAGTTTAAGCGTACTTTTAGAATATAGGTAAGAGAGTGAAAGGAAAATAAGACTCGAGAGGTGTTAGCTAAAGGTAAATTTGTCTATACTATGTATACTAGAAGGATAGGAGGTTACTAGACAATGCAGTGACGTGCGGCGTAGAGAGTGGGAATATTCAATATTGTGATGGTAAGAGATGTTCCTAGGGAGAGGATTTTATAGGTGGATATGTTGTAGATAGGAAAAAACAGGACACATACACGCGTCGACTAATCCTTGCCGGGGGTAGAAGAAGGGAAATAAGTGATATCCTCGTTTTGTTGTGGGCGAAACCGTGAATTATTATTATAGACCTTTTTTATATCTTTCTAAAGACGTGAATCTCACCATTTATTGTTAGCGTGTTTCATCTGAACGTATAACCCCCAAAGCCCAAACTACTGTCGAGAAAGAAGTTATTATCGAAACTATCTCCTCACGGCCATCTTATAAAGGTAATTCAACCCTTGTCTTACACATATACGACTTTGAATAGACACTCCGTGTGTTTGCCACCTGGAAATCAAATTCTCTTCCCTCGTCTATAATCTCTATACACCCCGTGGCTTCCTTCTGTACCAGCCAATCTTGCATTTCACTCTTTGGAATTGAGGGACGTAGGTTCTACGATAGATCTTTTATAGGTTTGAAATTGTCGGTATATAATTCTGGTGAATAGCACCTTGTACGAGAGCCTGGTAGACCTATATACTTTAGGTCATGTGAGTGGCTTGCTACTCACATACTTAAGTCTGTAGAGTACCACCTCTCTTTACCTTTACTCTGAATACACGAATGAATACAAAGAGAGATTATGTTTGTGTATCACCCTTTACGACAACCAGGTCGTACCAACAGAAATTGAAGGAGAATACGGATGTGGAGTTCTGGTTAATGTAGAATGGAAAGATGGACGAGTGGAATGGTTTGTTAGTAGGTAGAATAGGTAGGTAATACCTGGTTTGTTTATCGAGGGTAGATTTCAGCATGCGACCTTTTTTTCTTAGAAGTGTCGTTAGTAGGGAAACTAATGACAAAACTTAAAGGAAGCTGTTAGTTTAAATTATTCTTAATACATGTAATATAAAAGACCCATATTACTATAGTAATAACCAAGTCTCGTGGTTATATGTCGAAGCAAGTATATCTATAGCTAGCTAAGTCCCTACGTATTTATAGATACTATAGTACGCTAAGGACCAAAGAAGCAGCTACGCAGAGCTAGCAAATAATATTCACTATTGTAAACCGATAGGAGGATTTCGTTAATATAAATGCAATACTCTCTCTTACGTTTTAATTACTACCAGCTCGACCGATTCTATCCATCACCAAGTCTACCGTGTGGCAAAGTAGAGCATTAACCTGATCGAATCACGCCAGCGCCATGTAGGATGTAGTGTCCCTATTTTGTCTTGTTAATAGAATTCTACCTCTCTAGTTTAATTCATCTTAGATAACTTCATCTGAACGTTCTAGCTTCGAAACCCGAACTACCGTCGAAATCACAACCCTCGCCTCTTTAACCGAGCAAAACCCAAACTCTTAATCAACGGATCAAAAGCGCGTAGGAATCCAAGATAACTACAGAGGGGAAGCTCTAAGCGATAAAGTTGAGACCCCATTGAATAGGGACAATTGATCAAAGAATCCTCGGATACCTTCCCGCGTCGAGATGGGAGGACCGTGGTTCAATTTACCGTACCTTTAGGGGTGTCCCTGAATAAAAATAGGGTCTCCGGGGTTTTGCTTAAGAGAGGTGACGGGTAAGAGGTGAAGTCCCTAGCGGTGCTCTCGTCGGCAAGACTGTCAAAGGAAGACTACTGTAAAGATTGAGGTTAAGAAAACGAAAAGCCCTTTGTTAAACGAGATATTAGAAACAGCGGAATGCCCTCTGGTCTCAATAATGTAAATTTACCAGGATCGTAATATAGGAACGAGTGTTATGTAGGCACGATTACGCCTCCTGTCAAGGTCGAGTCTTCTTAGTAAATCATTCTCTGCTACGTAAGAAACGCGAAGGCAGCCTTGGTGGGGCCAGATATTTTTGTATTTTATTATATTAATGTAGCACTGCAATTCTTCCTTTCTCTACTAGCTAAGCTTGCTTCGCGCCCCCCCCCTTCCCCCCAGTTATTATTTATATCTTGTTAATTTTCATCCGAACGTTCGCCATTCAAAAACAGCAAATATGAGAACTTGGAAACACAGAATGGTATGTACGTCGATTCCTCGCCCAAATTCGCGTTGTCTCTTCGAGATTTCATGGGGTCTGATAGATTCTTTCAAGATCGTCACTGAATACTTATTTATTTACGTACGAGCTGAGGGAAGGAGGTTTTATGGTTGAGGGGTGAGGTTTGAACTTAGGGCTTCCTAGACTAGAGTGGGAGATCATTGGTGATAGATTATATGTGAAATGAAGTATACGAGACATATGAGACGGGGGAGTGGAAGGGGTCGTATTTAAGATTAAGATTACAGGGTTGAACAAAGGATCGTAGTTGCAAAAAGAGAGTTGGTTGTATTTAGATAGCAGGGAAAAGACGAGATATGTGCTTTAAAATCATCGCCATTCTCTCTGCTACTCAGAAAGAAATACATCCGTAACCCCTTTCTCGTCTAAAGTTCAAGGAGAGTTGTTGTGCTGGGTCTACTTTCTCTTTTGCTCCACTTCCTGATTTGATCCACTTATAGCTCTGCTGCCTAAATGCTTCATGTCTGCATAAAACTAACACTCTTTATATAAACACCTTAGATAGCTACCTTTTACAATGCAATCAATTCTCCATGACCTTCAGTACCCAATACCCTTTCAACCCAATAAGAGTTTATGCGGCCATGGCTGTAATTACAGATTTTGGAAAATTACTACTGCAGTATCCGTGGGGTTGATCGACCTTATTCGATAATTTGGCAAACGTCGATTCTACCCTAGGAGAGTTTTCATGTTTTATTTGGCTAAGTATAAAATTCTCTGTCGCTGGTAAATTCCCTCAACTCCATCAATCATCACCAAGCGGCCACCCCTCATCATCCAAAAATTCAAAATCCTTCATCTTCAAAGACGGAAGTCGAAGCACACCCTCGGCATCAACATGCTCATCACTCTTTCCCGAGAATCCCCCTTCATTTTTGATCCTATCATAAACATCATTCTCCAGCCTCGAAGCGACAAGAGCCGCACTGGAAAAGGGCACCCTCCACTCTTTCCAAGACTCGATCACCGGCCAATCGTCAAAGTCGATACTCTCATCGACATCATCCGGAGTCTCTCGAGTCCAATGGTGAATTGAGACTGTTTTGTCACGTATAGTCCTCTCGTCGAGGACGACGAATGTGGATACAGCGATCGTTTCTTGATGCTCTTCGGGAAGGTTTTTGAGATAGAATTTCAGATCATCAATTGTGAAGCTGAGGAAGCCGGAGTCGAAGTGGTCGAGCGGTCCAAGAGTTTCTTCATCAAATTCATCCTGGGGGGGATCTCGGATGAGAGACCAGTTGTTTCTTGTGTTTTCTGGTCGTTGAGATTCGACGACGAACTCTTTGATGAGCTGGCAAGCAAACATTAGTAACTTACAAAGTCATCTTTTTCTGAATGCCACTTACCTCGAGTGGGATGTTGGCGGTGCAAAAGAATGGAATGCTCGACATGGTCAGTTGAAATGATTTCCGTATGCGTATGACTATGAGCTGTGTTGTTTGATAAAAGTGGTGTTCAGGTGTTGAGAATACGGGAGGTATATATCGAATAGGTGGTGGCATGGGTGTTTGCGACCCCACCATAAGCGCTGATGTCACTGCCACAATTGCTTATGGGCTGCTGGTAGGATTCCGTAGGAAGGATAGCACAGCCGCAAATTGACGTGTGCCAATCAAAGATAACATCTCATTGGCTGACGAAGGCATTAATTCCGACCCAGCAAATTTCATTTGACCAAGGTGCTCCTGAGGGATTATCAAGGTTTACGTCGATCAAGATCGTGGGGTTATGCATATCCCCCGGTGCAGAAGCTTATCTACTCTACGTACTGAAGTTCACGGAACATCGAATTACTTCTGAAGACTTTGTTTTCATTCACTGAATCAAAAACTATGTAAGGTGCAAATCCGCCGAAATACAAATGCACCTCATTCCATGCTGTGCCACTCTACAAAAGAAAATCGAAGATAAGGGAAAGTATCCAGCGTGTCACCATCACGAAGCCCCTTAATCCTTTGCTGGGAGAGCATGGTAGCTGATTTTGTCCGCTCGAACTATTTTATTCCAGTCAGTTCCTGAAATTTTAAAGGAGAGGAAGAAATGAGATTACTCACCTTGCCAAGTTCCTCCCTTGGTATCTTTGTTGTTGGAGCCATAGCAGCTTGAGTCTGTGGCAGCCATTTTCATCAAGTACTCGATGCACTTGTCTTTATCGGGAATGTGGTTGTCTTTACTCTTGTTATGGATTTCAACTGAGGATTGCTGTTAGAATCGTTCTTCGCTAATGTAATTATACTTTAGCTTACATTCAATGTGTCCAGCGACGAAGTTTTTGAGACCAACTCGACGGCCATTACCTTCTAATTCAAATTGCCATGTTCGAGTACTGGAAAGAATTTTTCCAGGTGCAATGTTGAATGGATTACCATCGTAATCAGCTGCAACACCATTACAGAACCCGGTCACGGTGTTTTGGTATCCCCTTTTCAACGCTGTTTAGTCATACGTTTTGAAGAAAAAAATTGGAAGTACATACCAGTACCATGTGCCTTCCTTTTGGAAGGGCCATATACCAGTAGAAGGTGATTGGGAATCTGCAATTGGGATCCAACCAGAAGTTCCTCCACAAGATGATACATAATCCGAAGAGCGAGCCTCAATAGTGTCACGCTTGTCGCTTCCTGAGGTAGCATCTGAGATTGTGACAGTGAAGCCACCTTTGCTCTTGAAAGTTTGTGAGTTGCGTTTTTCGGTTTTCCCTGGTGCAGCGTCGTCGATGTTAACTACCATACCATCCTTGCCTTTGAATTGTTTCCGGGATTCAAGTTCTCCTGATGGGCGGGGAGCAGCAAGTACCGAGGCAGTTGAAGCTAGGAGGAGGAGAATCGAAGAATGCATAATGAAGAAATATTCCGATGAGAGCAAATTGTATGCGTGAACTTTGAGATGAGTAGATACTGTAAATTCAAAGATGAGATTGATGATGAGGAATCAAATAAACAGCAGATATCCAGTTCTTTTAACTACTTGAACCAATTCTGCTTCCTCGATCAAAACACCACAATAAGAATTTTTTTTTCAATAATTAAAATTAGATTCTTATCACATCAGCATAGCCCTTTCCAAAAACGAAGGATTAAAGTGCTCATTCCCTATAGACAATCTAACTTCCTATGTTATTTCATCACTGATTCGATAAAACACAGTAAAGGATTATGAAGCACAAGACATTCATCCTTCATGTCCACCAAGTGACCTTTCAGCACATGCAGAGGCGAGGCGTAAATTGGCGTAAATAAACATTTTACACCATACTGGTGACATCACTAGGCAGTGTTTCATTTTTAAGCTTTGTTGTTCGTCCTGTATTGCGACTAGGGTGCGGTTCCTGGCGGTTATAGTGCTTATGGGGGGTCGATTCGGGTATTTAGATCGGCAGTAACAATTACATATGTAAGATTATTTTGGGTAACATTCTCAGCCTCCTGTCATCACACCATCATCGTGAAATATGCCTTGTTCAGAACTTTTGCGGATTCAAGAAAGAATTGATGATTGAATCCTTGAAATTTAAGCTGAGGTACAGTCAGAATAGGATTTCTTTTCTTGAAGAGACCTTGATTTTGGTCGTTTCATGTTTCTTGAAGGATTTTGAAGAAAGTCTCTTCTGTGGTGGCACTGCTGCTCCATCAAAGTCATGAGTATTCAAAGAGAAAGAATGTGTATATACTCTCCCTAATGTCTTTGGATTTCGCCTACCACTTCCAACATCACTCACTCCCTCTTCGGTTCTTCCTACGCTTTCACTTCATATTTTTCTTTATCATAGTTCTATTTCTTCCTTTTTCTAGCTTTTAACATGCAACTCCTCTTAGTCGTTCAATATGCTGCTATTTTAGCACTGCAACTTACTCCCATCAATGCAAACCCAGCCCCAAACGCAAAGGTCAATGCACTTGTCTCTCGAGCAGCAGGCACACGCAATGATCCTCATATCGTCGACATGCCATGTACCGATATGGAAGATGTATGTGAAGCAGATTGTATAGCAATTCTTTGCCACGGTAAAGATCCGGTCATGTTAGTGCATCCCCTATGAAATATGTAAAATTTAAGACTAATCAAAGAATAGGCAAAAGCTTGCTGGGACCGCAGATGCAAAGAAGAAGCAAAAGGAAGATAATTACAGAAAAAGTGGAGCATACTTTGTTCCATTCGATGAGCCTTTGGATATGCAAAAGAAGCGAGGCATTTCAGTTCCGAGCGGTCTCATTCCAGGAGCACCGGTTTTCAATAGCGCAGAGGAAACAACATATGAGTCAACTCAGCAAGGTGGGACAAACTGCATTATCTTCCCCGTTCCTCGGGATCAACAAACTCGTAAGTGTTGTTATTGCTTCTACTCCTAGAACTTTCTAATGAATATATTGTATAGTCCAAGGAGGCAATATGCAAAACCAGTTTGGTCGTGTTGATGAGGCTCTCAGAAATATACCCGATGGACAGTTCTTCAAGCAAAGATTTTCATTCTTGAACTCGGATACGTAAGATCATCAATATTTCGTGGTGCAAACTATTTGAACTAAACATGCAATCAGACCACATTGCTTGGCTCTTCAACAAATCCCACCAGATACTTCGATTTGCCACAAGGAGAAGAAGAACAAGTGGGGATTCGACATGAAGAAGTTTGCTTTCGTAATGGATCAAGCTGCTAAGAATCCACGAACTTTTACCAACTTGTTTGGTGGATACAAGCGCAAGAGAAGCGATGGTACATATGAACCAATTGAGGAGGCCCAAGAGGTTCAAGATGAGTAGTATACTGATAGAATGATGCATACGTGTTGTATACCTGGGTTGGATATATGGAGTTATATTACTGTGTTTACATTTATTTTTCTCGGTTGGAAAGGAGTTAGGGCATCGAGTTTCCACAATGATTCAAGTTCCAAGGATTTTGTTATTGTTCTCACGATTGACTATACATCCACCATGACCGTAATGTCGAATTTCGCGAGCATTATCCAAACGGAAGTAATATATACAAACCCATAAGATTAATGTACAAAGAATAAGTTTGGCGTACAATAGCTATGACAAAATGGGGATTGAGGTAAAAGAGTTCCTTGCTTAGAGGGGGACTGATTAAGGATAAGATAATGTATTAACGGTGTAGAGCTTGCTTAATAATAGGTGAGGGAGCTCGAGTTTATATAGGCTGGCTCCTGGTGGACAAGAAAAGTAGTAGAGGTTCATTTTTTCAACTATTAGCGTAAGTTAATTCTAAGTACTTAAATAGTTAAAATGTATAAGTTAGAATAATTATCTTTATTGTCCTATCGTTTTAGATAAATTATTTTAATTATTCCAAATGAATAAGTTAATATGATGAATTAGTTTTTAATTTAGTTAGGCTAAGATAAAAGAGGTTACTACCAATTCTCTTGTTCACCTAAAGGCTAGTGCACCAGAGATTAAGTGAGTGAGCGCAGACCTGCGAGCTCACGTGATACCACGTGACAACAGGAAAACAGCAACTCTGTTCAAACCTAAAAAGGGTCGTAGTAGAGAGAAATACTAAGCGAGAAAGGTATTAGAAGAGGATTATACGGCGATCATTTTATAAATCTCTATATTATTAAAATAGCCTACACTTATGTTGTGCTGGGTCTACTTTCTCTTTTGCTCCACTTCCTTATTTGATCCACTTATAGTTCTGCTGCCTAAATGCTTCATGTCTGCCTAAACCTTACACTCTTTATATAAACACCTTAGATAGCTACCTTTTACAATGCAATCAATTCTCCATGACCTTCAGTACCCAATACCCTTTCAACCCAATAAATTTCTATAGTGTATAGTATCTCCCGTCCGGTCTACCCCCGTCCTTTCCTATCTATACTCCTTTCCGAGGCCTATCCGTTAAGTTTAGAAGGCTCTCCTATCCATTCTATTCCGAACCAATCAATACTCCTTATCCTCGCTAGGGTACCGGGTAGGAAGGGGCAGGAGTACTCCTAAGGCTAGGTGTTATAGGTTTTAGTAGGTCTGAAACAGCGAAAGATCGGTCCAAAATATAGTAGAAATTACTCGAAGTAGATCCCCTCCCTGGCGCTCCCACGTGCCTTCGTACCGTAGCAAAAAGACTGTCACTTGCGTAGTAAAAAGACTATCGCTTACGTAGTAAAAAGACTGCTGGCGAACCCTCCCTACTACTCCTACGAGCCTTCGTACTATTGCTTAATTAAGCCTTATTTTTAGCCTTATTTTTAACCTTATTTTAGCCTTTCCTTTCCGTTCCTCTCCCGAATATAGCCTCTCATTCTCCGCTCCTATCTAGCTAAATATTTTACCAGGCCAAAGGCCGGGCTCTCCTACTCCATTCCTGGGGGTTAGGATAGGAAAGGACGGGAGATACCATACACTGACTTACTACGACCACGTAGATTATACTTTCTAGAATCTACAAAAACAAGCTTGGTAGCTTAGCGAGCTATCCTCTTGTACTGCATTATTACACATTGACCCCCATTCCAAGAAAGTTAGAGTACTAAGTAAATTAACCATGAAATACTTAGTAGGTTATATATTTGTTGTATAAGTCTAGATAGCTTTTGTAGAAGGGTATATCAGGAAATAACTCTAAACAGAGAACCAAATGTTAAAGCTAGGCCATTAGTAAAGCAAATCTCTTAGTTACACTATATATATTCCTGCCAAAGTCGAGAAGTATAGAACCCTATCTAGATTTTAGCAATAATACTCGAATCTCCACGGAAACATGAGGCCTAAGACACGGATTTACTTCTCTATAAACTTTTTGTCTAACCTTATCAGTGATTGACTTGATCCATTAAAAGCTTTTTGTATTGTTGATTCCTGTTCTATTTGCGGCCACTTGTTTAACAAGGTTTGACGCAGCTAAGCAGATAACCAGAACAGGGTTAGGATTGCTACGTATTAACCTTGCTAAATTTTCGCACATAACATAAATAGAATTTAAAACTTGAAGCTCTATAGCAACCAGCTATCATAAAAGTGACTCTTGGCCTCAAATCCCTGTCAAATAGCTCTTCTGTCAAATACTCTAGTCGTCTCATCCTTCATATGACCCAAAAACGTGCTTACTATCCTCGCCATACCCCGGCCAGTCTTCTATACCAATGTTCCTCTTTGTGACAGCTCCAAACACGTGTTTACTATCATCACCGTACCCGGGCCAATCATCGATTCCAATCTCCCTTCTGGAAGTGTCACGCTTCCCAGCCCCATGACAGTTGCCATTCCCAGATCCACCTGCTTTTTTTAGAGCTCTACCGACACAAGCTTTTGTACCAATTGGTAGACGACCATTTGCAAACCATTGGAACTTCCCATCTTTGAGCGTCCTCTCGAACCCGTACTTAGTGACCTCTCCACAGCCATCAAGCTGCTTCTTAAGACCTTCTCCCTCGGCTCCAAACTTGGCGTCGGGTAGGTTCTTTCCACGGATTTCAAAGGAGTCCCAAAGGAACTTGTAGGATACATCACAGGCTACTTCGTTAATCTGCTTGCTAAGGGGGGTCATGGTGTATTGCCATCCATCGCTCGTAGTAAGGGTTGAGCCGAATTTGTAATTGTGAGGATTGTTGGTGGGATCGTTACCATCGCAACCATTGATGACAACCCCCTTGAAACGATCAGCACAATTCGGGGCATCTTTAGCTCCCTTGTTTTGATCATTGGGAGCCTTGACAGACAACTTAAGTTCATCAACGCTATCTTTGTTGTAGGTAACCTCTCTGGCGTCTTGGTTGCAAAATGTGTCTACATTTCCAATCACGGTATCCACATGCATTACCCAAGTATCGCCACTGATGCCATGACATTCATTCTTTTCAATGACAATTGGTGGTGGAATTGTCGGCGGCGTTGATAGCCCACCCATAGCATCGGTGTAATGATCGAGGACGAGGTCACGAATCTTTTCGTGTAAAGGGTTTTGAGGGTGGAAAACCTTGACTCTATTTCCAATTGAGCGCCAAAGGTTGTCCCAACCTGCGCCTTTTCTCTCTGAGCCCCCATCATCAATGTTGTCAAAAGCCTCATTTTGGAAAGAAGAAAAGGTTTTGAATTTGGACTTAGCATCCGCACTCGAATTGACTTTTTCATAGGCCTTCTGTAGCATATCGTTGACAATCGCATCGTCAGGTTAATTGTAAGGATAGTGCCATAGCCAGAGTTTGTCGTTGGTCTGATCTGGTTCTTGGACTCCTCGCTCGCAGTATCTATGTCATTTCATTTGTTCGTCGATTGAAACGAACTTGACATTTTGGTCCTTGTTTTGCTCAACCGCGTCTTCGATGGCTTTATTGAGACCCACGATCATATCATTAAAGTCCTTTCGAATCGCTTGGATCATCCTCGTATGCTCTTTCCCATCGTCCTTCGGGTTGGCTGTTCGAGCGAATGTGACGGTATCGCATTCTTTGGTGGTGGTATCGAAGAATTGGGCAAACCCAGGGACGTAAAGCCTGAATCGGTCACCAATTGGGCCTTTGCGATCTCTCTCAACAACTTTCTTGATAGTGTTACTAATATTCTCAACCAGCTTAGGATCCTTGATCAGGTCCCAAGAGATCTGTCTCTGCTCATCGCAAGTGTGATAAGTTGGACCAGCTCCAAAAGGTAAACTTGTTTCTATGATACAGTTGAATATGATACCTGGAAGTCGATGTTGTTACCACCAACTTGGAGTGTGGCGATATCTGGTTTTCCAAAGGCTGGTCGATCGCCTGAGTGGTAGTTAGTTAGAGCTCTTCTTCTACCCGAGAAACTAACCGTATTGCCAACTGGGCACTCCAGAGGTGGGTTCATCGAAAAATTGATAAGCTTCGACATCTGCTGTACTGGAACCAGAGCAGTATGTTTTATTCGCCATATTATGTGAACATATCCAACAAAATAGTCATTTTTGAACTGACCAAAATCCCCCCTCGATATGACGCTTCTGTCATGAAGGATTTGAGGCACACTGTTGGATATGCAAACGCCCTATCCTCCATGAATCCATCGTTTTCTTTTCAGCTGTATCATGGAGGATTTGAGGCAGTGCGTTAGACATGGAACCTCCTTATTCTTCGTAGATCTGCAGATTCGTTTCCGGTCGTATCAGAGGTTGAATCGGTGTGAAGCTGCCTCTGGGCTGATTGACACGAGGATAACCTAAGGCTGGAAATGAACCCAATATACTTATTGGTGTCCAATCGTGGCCATTATTAACGTTTCATCTTGGATGTTGGACGGCACAATGTTGGAGGAATCCACTTTTTGTGCCCAGATTCTGTCTTTGCAAGCATTACACTTCACTATTTCAGGATGAGGTATTTGTTGTTGGCGAGTACTGTATTCGGTAGAGCACAAATCTAAGCCCTGTTGAGCTACTAGTTCTCTGTAATTGGAAGATTACAGACCACAGCGTAGGCATTCTCGCGAAAATATTCAGTACAATATTCGACAACATCGAAATCTTGTGCTATATTTTCGACATTCTCAAAACCAGCTTTCTGGAACAATACTACCTGGTAATGTCATCTAAGTCATCTTGTAATACCGCAGTGGGGGAAGGGGCTTTCACGCGAGTGCCAATTAACCGAATCCCCAACATTACTATCAAGGTTTTAGAGATACGGTATTGTAATGGTATGACGAATTATGAGTTCAGGAACTGAGTGTCCTTCGGTAGCGACAATGTTTCTGATGTCCTAATCTGATATGTAGAGCCAATTCACTTTATTCCTGGTAGTTAAAGGAATATACCCTTTGGCTGTTTTACAGCTCTTTGCACTAGGATCCCAAGCATGTATATGCCTTACGATGCGTTGCTTCTGTTGATTTTGGACTTTTATGATTGATTTTATAGTTCCCCATGTTAGGCTTCAATAATTCCCACTTACCAAGTTAAATATTTGAATGGCAAAACTTCATCCTTGTACGTGTTCGGCTAACCCAGGCTTTTCATAACATGCGGTGCCGCGGTGGATCAATGGGGAGTTTCTGTGCCTAATGACCACGGGTCTGTCCCTGCTAGATACCCGGAACAACATCCATAAAAGCCGTCACCATACACGTCCTTGAAATCCTTGGGCCAAAAAGGGGGCTGTGAATAGGCATTCATATGCGGGGATGTTGGTCCGTCCATTCTAGGACTAGCGTACTTTATGACACCAACCAACATCACTCGAACAACTGGAATGTGCACTCACATTTTCTGTAAAACGTCTTCGCTTCTTATTTATTTCTTGACATTAAATCTACAGAAAATAATTAGGGCACCCGAAGATGTTCATTCCAGCCATAGAGAACGCCGTGAAGGCGTTGCCGTTGTTCACAGCGCTGCAGAAACCAATTTTCAACGCAGGATATACCCACGATTCATTCTCTGTCCAAGATGAAATCCCGGACGGACCTTTTAGTCTTTGTGAAGTTTCCCGCGCAACAGATCTTCTTGCTATTACTTCCGTATCCCTAAGCAAACGACCTGTTTGTATGTATGTTGCATGACGCATAAATCGCATCATTTGCCTCCAGTTTGAGGGCACTCGCTGACACTTGGTAGTGATGATATCTCTCTCGTCAACTTCTACGGCGAGTTCCAGGACTGTTTCAAATGAAATGGGACCATCGAACTCACCGTTAACTGTGGCTCTCACTGTGAGGAATACGGATATCCGAAAGGCACTCCCGGAGCTAGTACCAGCTTCAACTTCTGTGAAATGAGCGAGATTGAGCAGCCTTTACAAGGCAGACAAGCAACTTGTCCGCCTGAGAAAAGTCCCACTATAATTACGTCGATTGTCTATGTTTTTCCTATGTTTTTGAGAGCCCCTGTAGGTACAATGATCGCCCTTCCACTCGATTCTGACGCCTATATGGACGTTGATGGCAGCTAATAGATAAGGGTTACTACAATTTCACGTTCGATGCAAAGACTGGCGAGAGCGAGAGGATTTATTGTTTGCAGACGGAGGTCTGTTTGCGATGGGAAGACGAGGAGAAGAACCAACTCTACCCACAGAATTCATGGAGGGATTGTAAGTGGCCAAGATGAGTGGCAGAGGTCGTCCTGCAGGACAATAGACCTGTGGGGTCTCAAATTTATATTCGGTTGTAAAGAGCTGCAGTGAATCAGATGGGACTATTGAATCATAGGAAGTGGTATCCAAGTATTTCTCTCTTAGTATTTGATAAGTTTTATAAGATTGGCCTACTTTTGAAATTGAAATAAGTGTCGTTAAAGCGAATGACCGACTGTATTTATAGAGAGAGATATTTTCACACCGTAATTCTTCTCTGTCTATCGGCAATCCATCGCGTAGAAACGTTTCCATGAAGCAAAGGTCTAAAACGTTGGTTCTTTTCATCTAACTTATCTAAAATGCCAGGAGGAAAAGAGGTTTCTTGATATAATATCTTGGCCCTCAGAAATCCAGGCATGAAGGCCCTCCAAGATGCTTTTTGGTACAGTGGCCGAGCTCCAAATTAAAGAACCAAAGTGGTAGTAAAAAGTGTAAGTACATGAAAATCCGAAACAAATCCATGATCTCTCATCTTCTTTCATAAGGTTTCACAATAGAGACTGTTGGGTAACTATTTTATAGTTACTTCCTTGCATTTATAAGTTATAGGGGGAAATATTGTTCTCGAAGTAAGAAGCTTTGATTCCTTCCTAGAAAGAAACATCAAGTTTCCCGAAAGCTGGTCTAGAGTTCCCCTTAATCTTTAGTCAGCATTCCCTTAACCCCATGAAGGAGCTGCTGGCAGTTTAAAACGAACCCCAACTCAATGTCACAATTATACTCAATAAAATTCCTTGCAAAGAATGGACTCGTCGTTACACAGGCATCACTTAACATCTGAGCACCCCGACTCTTCGTACAGGCAGTCTACATACTGCTTTAGACACACTGATCTGTACCATGGCCAGCAAAGAAAAGAGTCCCGATTCCACGCTCCCGCAAAGCTTCTTTTATGCCTCTTTGATACCCGTCCCTGCACAAAATCCAGATAAATGATTCTTAAAAATTCAGATATATTAAGGCTGCGCACTTTCTACAACGGGGGGATAAAATTCCTTGTTCCACTGTTTCTGCATTATAACCCTCCCAGCATCGATGACAGTAAGATTACCATCTTGAGCTTTCACCGTCCGATGTTTTACATAAAGACCCAAGATCTCTTGCACAACCATCCTCAAAGTTGTTATCAAGCTCTAATTCGCATCCTCGAACAATTCTTGGGGGCATGTCTTCCAAATCTTGCTTTGTTAGGCCTCAGCCAAGCCATACGATGCGAATATCAGCTTTCCGACAAGCTGGGATGACTTCATTGAGATGATTTTCCGTGATAGTCAACGCCGCGCTTTTAGTTGGATGACCAAGGCATGGGAGACATGAAGTAGTTTTGCATGTCAACATGTACGAGAGCAGTCTTGAAGGGGTCGATTGTATCTTGCTCTTTTGTTGTCGCCAATGTGACTCGTGGGCATAATGGTGAAGATGTCGGTGTGCACGGGTGCGTAAGATCAAATCCAGACATTCCTCTCGCCTCCCAAGACTTTGTTCTCATCAGGGGTCATTTTGGCGGGAGTTCTGTGTAAAGGTAGTTCTGGAGTACTGTGGTAAGAAAGATGGGGATTATATGTTCAAGGGAAAGTTCTGGTGGAACCACAGGCCACAGTCACGTCATATGGTTGATTCACAAGCAAGTGGTAGCAGGTGAATTGGGGGGGTCTAGCGTAATCAAGTATAGAAAGAGAAGCAGTTCAACTGAGATGGGAGGACCTATTATTAAGCCAATCACGTGCCAGTTTGAATATCGTTGCGTCTCCATATTCAAAAGGAGCTTTGTGGGGTTTTTAAATAAAAGAAACCTTTGTTGTCGAATGCTGAGCATGATATACAGTATACGAAAGACCCTTTGCTGAATGAACCTTGAAACCCTGGAAACTGAACGGCAAGGCATTTCTCTGCTTTATGTATCATATTGCTTTATGTATCATATGGTAAACTATGGTGGAAAATAATAAGTAGGTACAGTAGTTTGGTGCTCGTTCCAAGAGTCCCTCGCCTATTTTCGAAAGCCTTGCGATGAACAATGTTTACGTGGTTATCTTGGAAGCAGAGATTACCTTTTCATGTTTTAATGTTTGGCGCTAGTATAATACTCTAATGATTCTTGTAATGTTCTACGCATGTATCGGTCTAAGTCTAACTCTAACTACAATTTGTATACAAACTCAACAAGCATACGCAGAAACCATGAAAATCCATTTCGACGGACCCGCCGCCCATCTTCCAAGGAAGTAGCTTATCGAGACCAATAGACAAGCAACTTTGTCCAGTTCTCATCCTCCAGTTCCTCTATGGCACAAGAATTAACAGGTACTAGCTCATGATAAAGATTCCGGGCTTCCATGAGCAGTTCTTGAGCTTGGCAATCGTTTTCCTCGGTCTTGAGAATACATCCCTTTTTCCATATCGCACGACCCAGTTGCGCTTTTGTATGGGTTCCTGAACGGAATGCGTTGATGGCTGCAGTGAGATTCTGCCTATGCGATTTTGTGTAAGCGTCTTGATTTCACTCAGGAATTAGAGATTCAAAAGCTTACAGAGCTTCAATCTTGTCTTTTTGTTGCCAATAATTTACACCAAGGCTGTAGAATGCGTCTCCAGTGAAGTGGTGCTTTTCACCAAGTGTTGATCGCAAGTTATTGAGTGAGCGCTGGTGATACTCGAGGCCTTCTGAGAATCTTTCTTGGGCGTTACGGATATTTCCCATTGCGCGCCAGATGTGACCAGATCTACTTTCGTCAGAAGGATAAACAAACTCTTGTGTGACCAGAAAGCTTACTCTTGAGTAGTCAGGTCATCCTTACCCAGGACTTCTTCGTGTTCTTAGAGAACCGGCTTAAGTACCTTTTCGCCCTCATCAGGACTATTCAGCAACGTGTACGCATATGCTAGTGATATCGATGGCCATGTTCCGCTGAATTTGGGCGTGTTGTTGACCTTTCTGTAGATATCTATACTCTCTTGCCAGTTTTTGATGGCCTCTCCTATTTGATCTTTATGCGCATAATTGATACCGAGCTGGCGATACCCACCGGCTAGCAATGAAACTTTCGAGGGAAGTTTGTATGTTTCAACGCGTCGCGACTTCATAACATTAATCCAAGTTCCGGCATGAAGCAATTCATCTGAAGATCCGGTAAAAATGGCTGCGAGAGCTAGATGATGGTATGCCTCGACAACCCAGAAGATCGTTTTTTTGCTTATCACAGTAACCACGACCTGCAAGCGCTCCATTCAGAATAACTAGAGCTAGACGAGCAAAACCTTCTATATGATTCTGTAGACCCCTCTCTGAAGCATACCTAAGACCCATTTGTTATTAAGAACTTGTAGTAGTTTCAACCAGCTGTAACTCACCGAGCGTAACCACAGAAAAGATATCCGTTCTCCGGGGTCCCTGAAATCTTGCCTGACCGTATGTCGTCTCCGAACAGCGCTTCAATCCTGAGAATATGTGCTATGAGCTTTTCGGCCTTGGGATCAGATTCAACTCGGTCACATGTCAAACGAGTGGCATAAGGCCATATATCTGAAAGCAGCCTCGTTGTGGCTCCAAAAGCAGGAGTCAGTCCGTCATAGCTCTCCTTCATTGTTTGTATCACTGCGCTTTGTACAAATCGTCGAATTTGGATTTCACTTATTTCCGAGTTCCGTGAGATTAAGGTTGAGTTGACCAGTTCATCGCGAGCCTTAAAGTAGTTGATGGCTTCGACTGGGTAATTATCGATGGAATAAAAGCGGACGTTCCTAGCGCCTTCGGTTAGCAACTCCTCGGGTATCCTGTCAGGATCGAGAAGTGATAACACATTCAAGAGACTTTTTGCTGGATCTGAGAGTTTCCGAGCTCTTGAGGTTACCCATCTCACGCAAGTGGTGTTGATTAAGTCCTGAATGCATCCGTAAATCTCACCCCCGACTTTTACATCAAGAAGTGTAGAAATGGGTTCAAAGGTAAGAAATTTGTTGAATTCTGAGTTTCTGTCTGACCACTTCTGACATTAGCACTATTCAGAACCTGGGCCAATCGTGCTTACTGATACCCACTTTCCCTTTGGCAAGGGCAAGCTATCTCCAAGGTGAGTATAGGTATGCATAGTTGAAGTTCATCAAACTCCCGACAAGTTCTGGCAACGAGCTCGCAATCAGAGGAATCCAGGTGCAATATCTCGAGATCTGGTCTGTTGCCTCTTATATTCTTCTCGTCTTCGTCCCACATTTCATTGTCTTCCTCGTTTTACCTAGTCGCATGAGGTGTTTCCAGAAAGATGAGCCCAGATGTCACTTCTTCATGGTTTCGGTCCAATTTGAAGTCCAACGTTAACATCTAAGTGATTATTAGTATTGAATTGGCTTCAGGAATGAAATCTGTGGCATACCTTTTTTACAATCAAACCTCCATCGCCATGGCAAATGAAAACCAGTCGTCTTCTCTGGCTCTGTGATAAAGTTAGGCCGTTACCTTCTTATTTGATCATTGTCACTCGTGCTTTAGAGTGTTCTCACCTCGGATCCCACGCAAATGTTATGAAGTGCCGTTCTCAAGTATTCACTTTGAGAGTTGAGTTGGTCCCCAAGCTCGCGGCTACCTGTTGCTACGTGACAATAGAACAGAAATACTCTTGTATCAACTTCTGTCGAAGCGATGAGGGACTTAATCCATGAATATTTGGTTTCGTATTCGTCGGGTTGACAGTCAGGCAAAGTTCCAGGTACAATAATTATGCTGTGGGAATGAGTGTATAATCTCAGGTTATATAGTAAGGCTTCATGCTTACTCTATGCTTTGTTCAGAGGTGGTAAGTCTCTGAGCGTGGTAAAGCGGGACCAGCTCGTCATTCTCCTGCGAAATTTTGGATGTTGCCACTGTTGCCAAACCGCACTAAAAGTTCAAGAAGCTCTCCAAAGCTTACTTCGAGAGGAACAAGTCTTGTTCGAGGATGTAAAGTTTGTTAAGACAGAACAGAAAGGTAGAAAGTAGATGTTGGTTGTAGGATAAGTCTGAGCTGGAGCAGATTTGATTTGAGAATTTATAGTATTCTAGAATGAGTAACAACCCTCAAAACATTCATGGACATTCGGTTGTCTGTAATTTTATTATTGCTTCCAGGTATAAGCGTTTCCTTAGTCATTCAGCTCTCTTATACGTGCAGTACCTTACCACGTGTAACCTCCAGATTCCAAAAGTAGTGTGTGAATCATTTGGTCCAACACCATACATAGCTGTTTGTGTCACCGTGACTTTGATAATTCATCCATTCGACGACCAGAGCCAGTAAAGCGTTTCGTCTTATATAGATGTTAGGGTGTTGCAGTTTGGGGTGCTAAGTGCAGTGAAGTAAGTATGACTAACCCATTAAAAAAATGAGTATTCAGTGAAGGAACTCCATTGTCCGTGACAGCTTGTGAAACACAAAGCACATCATTGTTTTTGTGCTTTATTTACCAACTAGACATTGGCGTACTGTATGTAGCACCCGCAGATCCTTACACATGCGCGTACTTTGCTTGGTCTTATTTTATTAATTTAAAATATGCTATACTGTTCTTAGAGTGTACCTGTAGAATATGTATCTCAAGCCTCTACTAATCTAGTTCCACCAACCCCCATGCCCCCTTTGCACCCTTAAGAGAACCTAACCCTATTCAATCATCTATAACATTCTGGTATAATTAGCTTTCTCTCCTTCTAGTGGTACTTATTGAAAGGTGTCAATGTTTAACTCACCTAGAATCTATAACAAGTTGAGCAAATCAATAAGGCGGCTAAAACCGCATGACAAACTTAGAAAATATGAACCGTCTTGATATCGTTATCAGAAAACACGTTTGGCGTCTTCACATTATCCACATCCTTCAAGCGCAAGTGGAATACCCCAATCCGCACAAACTCATTCGCTTGATACGGTATGTTCGGATTACTATTTTGCCTTGATGCCAAAAGAAGACCGTATTTACGAGTAATCTGTAAACAGTACAGTTGGCTTCCCAGTGGCGGTGTGAAGGTATCGAAGATACAATGCGAGATATCGTCACCTCCTGTCTGACAATTCGCGTTCCAACAAAGCTGTGGTTGGTATGGCCAGCTGGGGAGAACATGACCCCGAAAAGCCACCTTAAATGGCCCCTCAATTATGAGGCTACCAGAGGTAACTTGTCCATATTCATCCGGTCCAGTCGTCTCTGTCTCAATGTCCACTACATTTGCAGCTACCGGCTCGGAAGGTATTACTCGGCAGAAGAAACTGGAGATGCGCCCGTCCACCGAGGCCCAAGACCAAGAAGGAGCGCGATATTCTAGCGATGGAGTTGCTGGATAAGCTAATACTTGGCCAGGCTCCAAGAAGTCTTCTTCGTCGTATGGAGACCATAGAAGGCTGTGTGGGAGACTCTTGCCCCACAGTCCTGCGAAGTATTTATCCTTGAGGAACGCGCCAACGACCTTTGCGATACCTGATATTGCCACAAGTTTATCGCTCGGAAAGGTGAGATCTCGGTTGGTGTAATCAGTCAAAACGGCGTACCAGGATTTCAGTGCAGTCTGCAGCTTGCCGAAGTCATTTGATACCTCTCCTTGGAAAGAAGCCGGGAATGCGTTCCTGTATTCTCTCGCAACCGCCGGAACTGTTTCGCGACTTTCGCAAAGGCCATGCCTCAAGCATGTAAAGGACATTTGCAATCGATTAAACGTGAGTAAACGGTGACTGAGTGTAGATTCTTGGAAGCACCAAGCCCGATAAGCGAGGTAGTTTACGTTATCCGTCTTTGTAGTCGCATCTCTCTTATGATTACGGTCGATCGGAAATTCGAAATATACCGAAGCCTGATAAGGATTGCTATACTCCGACCACTCATAGGCCGGTCTGTCCGTCAACTCGAATGGCCTGGATGCTGGTACCCAGTCACGCTCTCCAAGAAATCCACCTAGACAATCGCTTGTTGCTGCGGCGGCAATCGTGACATAAGCATTCTTGTAGATTATGGGCATTTGAGAAGATTGTTCGTTCCAATCCTCGGGGGAGTTCTGGATGATACAGAGAGAATCAATCCAGAGATATCTGAGACCAAGCGTTCTTGTCAATTTCAGAGCATCTTGAAATGTGGCGGCGAGATTTTCTCTTGGAATCATGCGCTCCAATTCTTTGATATTCTCTGAAACCAAGGTGAAAATTTGTTGTCCGTCCTCCGGCCAGCGATGGCTAAGTGCAGCCCACTTTGCCCTCTTGCCAGTCGAAATAAGCAATCGAGGTTGTTGGTGGTCAGAAGTACCAATGTCAATAACGCGGGCAGGAAGTAATGGTTCGATTGGCACTCCGGCAAGGAGCTTCGCTTTTCCTTTAACCATATTGGAGACACTGGAGTAATGCACTGACGAACCGTGTGTGGGGTGATGCTGTACCCAATTACATTCAGGGTGGTTGTGAACACAATCCTCTACCCATTCTTGTGCCAGTTTTAACGTGCCAGGATCAGAACCTCTTTCCGAGACAGGACGTCCTTGAACCTTCGCCGAAGCTATGTTTCCTATGTAGTAATGAATGATTAGCACAGTCTATTAATATTGTCATGTTCAGATGCGTTATTTGGGGAAGTTCGAAAGCATGATAGATGATGTAACCTCACTTAGCTTTCATGTGTGGTACTTTTGAATGAGTGTGACAGACAATGATCATAGCCTGAAGGAAGTATGTGAAAAATAGAAAATGACAATATACCTTTATCGGAATAAACCCTTAAAACGTCATCGGCAATGTACCTGGGCCAAGCATTGCCAAAGCGCGACTGGATTGTTACCCGAAGCTCAGAGATCAACTTTCCAGACCCATAACACTCCTCGAGTATTACGCGAAGTGGTTCCTCTTCGCCCTCCCTTTCATCTATTTCAGCATCCGCAATATTTCCAGTGCAGGCTAGACTTCTGTGCGTTTCAATAATTCTATCGTAGCTGGCCCACGATAAGGACTTGTTGCAGCAAGACAGTATTAATGCACACAAACCACAACTCCTACTCGATTCTGCCAACACTGAGAAACTTTCCAAATGTTCCAAGGCGTTCTTTGAATCGAACCGCGCATGTCTTCGGGGCTTTCCCGTGGCTGTAAAAAGCGAAATGAGTGACGAACAGGAATTACATGGCGGTCCATCCGGCCATGTGCCGCTTTCTAGATGTTTGAGGATCCGTTTGGGGTTTTTGGGATCTACGGCAGATGATGGGTACGGCGGAAGACTATCCGTTCGCGTGGGGGCGATGGAGGATATCCTTCCTGATCTGTAAGAACCAGCTCTGAACTGAGGATTCGTGCGGTTGGAGCTTCTCATATCCATATCAATATACAAGGTAGGCTATAATTATTTTGTGTAATGCAGTTGGTCTGGAAACAGGCAACGACCATGTTTTGCTTTCGAGGCTGAGTACAAAGCGCGGGGGCGGGTGAGTCGAATGACAGCAGGCGTTCTGAACCAATCACAGGTGCCATAAGATTACTTGAGTTGAACATGGAATCAGATTTTTGTGAATCATGCCTCAGTTCGCATCCTCTCAGTATCTCATGCAACACTCATCGAGAAATGCCAATTTTTTTCCTTTTTAATCCCGATAATTAGTCACTTGGCTCACTATTTTCAGCCCCCCATAAATAGCCATGAAGGAAAATAGATGATTTGTAGTGTATTGATTGGAATACAAAGTATCCTTCTAGTAGAAGATATATCGCGATATAAAGGTAGGTTCTAACTTAAGCTACAAATTACATCTGATCCCTTCCAGACAATAGTTACAACAATGACCTGTGGTGGAAAGTAGATATCAGTAGATAGAATAACTAGGTCAAATTCTTGTTCAAATACTTAGAAATGCGGCCTGGTTGGTCAAACGACTTTGCTTTGCGAGAAACATATAGTAAATATGGGCCCATTTGGTCCACTTTCAATCACAGGTAATTGTAGTAACTATATCGTCTGGAAGGGATAGGTTTAATCAATATTACTACTCTAACTTGCCCATTAAAAACTTCCAAGTTAAGTATCAAATTACTAAATTACTACATGAATATACGAAGGAGGTTATGATTTTGATAATAGTCGTAGAGCCGACAAAATAAGGAGTAGTTATACAGATCTATAGATGAAGAAGGAGTGTTGTGCTTAGTGGTAGTGGTGTTTTGTTCTGATTGGAAAAAATGGGAATAGCCTAGGTATGCGAATAGGGATGCTGTAGGGTACTTGAGAACCTCTGACCCCCTATCAATTCTACCAAAAACCATTACCATCATCCCTCTCAGTTTCCCCCCCCCTTCAGTTTCGGGGTCGCATTAGCCGAGATCCTTATGCAAACAAAGGGACACAGAAAAGTATTACTTCAGAAAAGTATTACTTCAGAAAAGTTCATATACTTCCATGAAGTATATGAGACATCTAGGATAACGCGCTAGTAATCGAAGGATTATATAAAAAGCTAAATCAGGGTCAGAGAAGAGAGGAATGAAGTAGGTCCAAGGGAGTTGGGCCAAACTCTGTATACACCTTAATAGGAAGAACCTATTCTACGAGATGTCCTAGGACAAGTTACTTAATTATCCTAACTCACTCAGAGAACCATTTTCATTATACGAGACTTGTAGAATAATCTCTTTTTTCTAACCCCGAGGTAGGTGTGTACAAAGTTTCGCCCAACTGCCTTACATACGTCCAAGAGAGTTACGAATCTGGCTATTTTTAATGTACGTTGTCTACCCATAAATACACCACAACTCCCCTCCACTCACGACATCTACAAAACCACCCCCCTCATACCCCACCCTCCCAAACAAATCTACCCAAGAACTTCCTTGAAACTCTCCGCCACAACCTCCTGCACATTAAGTCCAGCGCTCACCCTCCTCTCCGGCGGTACCAACTCCCCATCATCCCACTGCGGTTTTGACTCCCGATAACTCCTCACCAGCTCGCCTCCCCCTTTCAGTAAATCCTCAAAAGCCGCCCGACGCATGACAGCCATTTCCTCGCCGCGATTCTTCAGCATCTCATTCACGAGGACGAGGGCATTCTCGCGATCCAATCGGTTCATCTCGGCGGCTTGGGCGTGTGGTTGCGTCGGTTCTTCGGGTGTGAGACCCTCGAGGAGGGATGCAGGGGAGGTGGAGGAAGAAGGCTGGGGAGAGGAAGATGAGGACTTGGTCGATTTGGTAGGGTCGATGAGGTCTTTTCCTGTGAGGAGTTCGACGAGGGGCTGGAAAACTGCGACGTCGTTCATGAGGTCGCTGATACATTTTGCGCCATCCGGATATCGGGCCATCAGCGCGAATACGAACCAGCCCTCACTCCTAACCACCGGCCATTTCGTCTGAGATACCATGAAACTCAACGACCTTCCAATATCGGGATGCATGACGAAGAATTTCTTGCGAATCTCCTCCATATTCTCGGGTGTACGGCCGGTGTAATTTGAGTACACACGACAAATCGCCGTCACTAGACGGGATATCTCCATCTTGACGGGCTCAATATCTGTTCGCTCGAAGAGAGAAATCAAAAAGGAAAGGTTGGTGCGCATATTTGCTGGGGAGGCCTCATCGTCTGATAGTCGTTTACATACTTTGCGGACATTTTCAAAGGTTCCGTTGATTAATTGGCGGGCGAGGGAAATGGAGGAGAATTGGATTTGTTGAAGGGTATCCATGAGCCAGAGACGTGGAAGAATTGCTATACAACCTGCATCTCCGATCAATTCTTTATTCTTTGCTGGCAGAGCGAGGTTTTTGAGAAAGCCGATGGCGGCGTGTAGAAGTTGGGAGTCGTTTGCATCGGTGAGAATTGCTATCAAAGGTTTATGGACTTGAGATGTGTGGACGAATTCTTCGCATGCGGCGTCAGAGCGGGCTAAGTTTCCAAGCATGATACAGGCGCAAACTTGGAGTTGAAGTTGAGGACTTGAAAGCCATCTTCGTAATGATGCGGTAAATGGAGAGACTACGGGACATGCTTCTTTGAATTCTGGTAGTGCCGAGACATCGGAGAGTACTTGGTTGAGTGCTGTTCGCATTTGTGATAGGAGCTTTGCGTCATCTTCGTCTGGAACACCTGATCCAATCGAAGGATGAGAGTCGAAGCGGGTGTATGAGTCGATTAGCACTGTAAGAGCAATATCTAGACCACCAAGTGTGACCAAGGCCTTTTGGAATCTCTCATGCTTGAGGTATGCCATTGAAGTATTGACCAAAGATAAGAAATCTTCCATATCACACGGTATTTCCCTATCTGTGGCAAGATCCAGAAGTACAATGACAATATTTTCGGGTGCCATATCAACTTCAGTAGCTGCAATAAGTTAATATCATACTTTCTTTTGCTGAGTGATACTTACATCTCGTAACTAACAGGTCTAGTATCCTGCAAGCATATCCGAGAAACGCTCTGCATTCATTAAAAGCTGGACTTGATATGAGCTTAATCAACTCTAGACTAAGCATTGAATCTGAAGCATGTTGTTGTGCAGGTTCTGATTCAAATTAGCTTGAACAAAAAACCAATATTACCGTCATGGACTAACTTACCATAATCTACACATATGTTGAATAAAACCGGGATTGCAAAAGGAATGAGAGAGGTATCTTGTAACTGAGATATAACCGAACTAAGAGACTTCGAAGAAAACACACGTGCTCGGTTTTCATCTAGTTCAGTCAGCTCCATTAATGAGAGTCGTTTTAATATTGGACATACCAGTATCCGCACACGAATTCCCGATCAATCTCAGAACATGGACTTTGAGAGCATGATCTAAACCATTCTGGCCCAACAACCGAAGAAAGAAGTCTAGCATCCCAGAATCACCAAGTGGTACTCGCCATTTTGCTAGCAGCAGTCAGCGTTCTTTTCCCAAGATGTAACAACGTTTCCTTTTACAGACCCCTCACCGCCTCTCCAACAGACCAAAAACAAGAAAGCATCAATAACCAAGATCCAAGACCCAACCCATTTTCACAAACCCTTCCTCACAAACCCTTCTACAAAATGAAAACAAAAAAACACCCATAACCCATACCCAAAAACCCACCCCCACCATCAACTTCCCCCCTCCCAAGAAACGAAAAAAAGGAGAAAAGAAAAAGAAAAGAAAAACTCACGATCCCTCCCCCCATCAGCAATCCCCTCCACCACCC